ATTTTGTGAAATAGTTGGTATCCCTTTACTACTATAATTAATTTTTGTCATTCCAGGAAATTTTTGTGAAGCCAGCCAATTAATAAGCACTTTAGCATCTGTTCAGGTAGTTTTGAAAACTAAGTTTCCCATTCAGGATAAGAACCTCCAGGTTACCTAAAAATGCAATAAAAACCTTTGTAGTCTAAGCTTCTTGGCACATAATTTTTCTTTTATTAAATGAGCACAATCCTCTCTCAGTTCCCTCTGCCCCCACCACCCATACAGTACTCCTTGTATCGTTTTTTAATTGTATCACTTTATGAAAGAAGTTGACCGGACATTTGCTGCACACACTTGAACTGTTGGGTCAGTAGCTCTGTGTCATTGCCCTGAGCCCAGTGTAATTCAGGAGGAAAGGTTTTTGTTTTTTTTTTTATGATACGGATATGTAACTATGTATTTTACTAATTGTGGTGAAACACTGGAAATTACAAAGCAGTCAACTTAGTGTGGTCTTTCAACAGCTCTCTGCAGTCTTTTTTTCTGTTACCATAATGTATTTGAGCACTTCCTCTCCATTGCCTTTGAGTTGTACCAATAAAACCATAACCCCGTTCTCTTTTTTTCCATTTGACACTCCTTAGCTCAGACTGATGTAGTTGATTTAGTTATCCCTGTAATGTGATTTTTGTTTTGACGTCATGGTGTATGCATTTGTTTTGTCACTAGTTGGGCATGTGCCAATAATATTCTGTCCATTTCTTAACTGCCATTGTGTTTGCCTGGATTTTTCCTCTTCAACTGAATAATGGCTTTTTGCATGAAAAGAATAGTTTTACTATTTAGACCTGTAAAGGGAAGAGAGAGTGAATGTATTGAACTTTGTAAACCTAAAAGGAATATTTGGATCCCTCAAAAAAAGGGCTATGTACGAGAGAGTGAATCGTGTGGTGGGAGCGACTTGAAGTCATAGGTCTGTAGGCAGGAGCCTCTGTTACTCCCTCTATCTAGGCTGAATGTAAAATCCCTTATGTTGTATAATGAGGATAATAACTATTTTTATTTGCCTATGGTAAATTTTGTTTCTAATAAAATGTCTTAGGCTCTAGTGAGAAATGTCTACTTGTAATTGCCAATTACTCCTTATTTGCCTGATCTGCTCTTGGCTAGCTTTTTGTAGGTTAATGCTTTTTCCTGAAAAATCTCACCATTCTAAATGTGTTTATTTGGGTGTGATCCTAAAAAGCCTGGATCAAGAGCACATCTAATATGCAACCTGAATCATCAGCTCCTATTCCGTCTGGATGTCTACAAGTGTTGGAAGATTCTGACCTCTTAAATCCTGTATTTTGCTTTTGAAATAAGGTGTGAAATGTTGTTTAGAACATTTAAGACTTTTGTGGTTTTGCTTGTAAGTTCAGCATCAGGTTTGGGAAAACACGTGTATTGTGAAAGCAAATCTGAATTTTCTGAGCTTGCATTGTCAGAAATAGAATTGCTCTCCATCAGGTCCCAGGAAATTGTGTATCTGGAATCGAAGAGATTTAACAGTAAGAATCCAGACTTTTAAATGTAATTGTTTTTTAAATGCTAATGTTTGTAAAGCACCTTCAATTCTTTGAATGATAGGTGCTATATCCTATCAGTGTAAATTAATAAAAAGATTATAGGAAGTTTCTCAGACCAATGCATAATCTATAGTATGTCTCAACAAGAAATTACTAGCTTTTTCTATTACTCAGTTTAAATGAAAAATGCTTATTCCTTCAGTTGGTTGCTTGACTAGTAAAGAGAAGTGAAACTTTTTCTTGTTTTGCCTTTGACTTTGAGCAAAATATTGTAGTTCTTTAAAGGCAATATTTATTGTTGTACCATGTACCCTGTACCCAGAAACATGCTCCATGAGACTGGTAGAACTTTCAATTGTGTTTTGACAGTGTGTAGCCACACTGATGAAATGTAGTAGTTACCACCAAAAAGATGTGGGATTTCTCTTAGCATGATGACAAACACAGTAGATGCTTGGGCAAGGTTGACTCCATATCCCCTTCTTAGTAGTTTTCTATTTCCTTGTCAGTCAGTTAATATATATATGGTATCTTTTCTTTTGGGCCAGATGCTCATAAGTGTAAGCTTAAGCTGACTTGGATCATATCAGGTATTTTAAATTTCATGAAATTATAGGAAGTTTCTCAGACCAATGCATAATCTATAGTATGTCAGCTTAATTATATTTCACTTAGTCCTTGGGTTCATACTATTCTCAGCATCTGCTTTTGTGTACAAATAGAAATAATATATAAGAGATAGCATGGAAGCACTATGAAGTACTGGAGAGAACATAGACTTTGGGACCAGATCTAGATAAAATCCCCATCTCTGCCAAGTAGTGGTGGTGGTGGTAGCTATCCTGTATTGAGTATTGCACATGCCTTATTTTCCATCCCTTACTGTGGCTTTTTGATTTCATTACCTCTTTCTTTTTCTTTCTTTTTTTTCAGATGAGGAAGCATGTAGAATAAGCAACTTGTACAGAACTGAAACTAATCAAAAGGAATATGAAGAAGTACTATTTCTATAGGTCATACTACAGTCTTATGCCCCCCAAAAATATTGATTTGTGATAGCTATGCTACTGTGAGGAGGTCTGATTCTCTGAAACTTAAAACTGTAGGCAGGAAAGCCAGTTCAATGTGCTGGAGCATGTCTGGCATGCAGGAGGCTCGAGTTTGATTTTCTAGCACACATGGTTCCTTGAGTACTGTCAGGAGTGATCCCTGAGTTCCTGAGCACAGCCAGATGTGACCACGAAACAAAAATATCACACCAAAATTATTTTAAAGAGTTATCACAGGATTGACCCCAGGATTATAAGTACAGATAAAATTCCCAGTGCCTGTTTCAAAGCTGCCATACTGAGAACTGCCTTCACCACTTGCCCAAATTTAACGTATTTGGAAAATAATTGCTAAGCATGTTGCTTGTGTATAATCACAAGTTTGGGGAAGGAAATGTTTGATACGACTGAATAATTGGGGAAGATGTAGGAAATGTGAAATAAAAACTGGGATGAAATGATAGATGCAACTTTTGGGGGGGTTGTTTTTTGGAAGTGGGCACACAGTGGTGCTCAGAACTTACTCCTTGCTCAGTGCAGTAGGATTATTCCTAGTGGGACTCAGGGAAACATGGTGCTGGAGATAGAACTTAGGTCTGCTGCATGCGAGGCAAGTGCCTTACCTGCTGGACGATCTCTCCGGTCCCCACGAAATCATTTTTAACATCAAAGATGTAAAAAAATCATATTAAAAGCCACTTTAAAATGTCATTTTGTGGGGGCTGGAGTGATAGCACAGCGGGTAGGGCATTTTCCTTGCATGCAGCCAACCCGGGTTCGATTCCCAGCATCCCATATGGTCCCCTGAGCATCACCAGGAGTGATTCCTGAGTGCAAAGCCAGGAGTAACCCCTGTGCATCGCTAGGTGTGACCCCCCCCCCTCCAAAAAGTCATTTTGTGAAAAGCTGCATCCTCATTTTTGCTATTTCTAAAGAATGGTGAGAGGTTTATCCCCAGTTGTTGATGTGTAATATTCTAGCCCAGTGTTCTTCAGTCGTTTTATGTCTGTGGGTGGGCCCCTGTGCTGCTGACCCATCAACAGGTCGGCTGATGTAACCAAGATGATAAAACCAGCAGAAACTTTTCTGTCTTGGTATGTCTGTGGATTGACACTTGTTTGTGGGCCAGTGGTTGAGACCACTGCTTTAGGCTTCCAAGTTTTTTAATTTCTAATTTTGGGGTCAGATCTGGTAGTGCTCAAGGCTTACTCCTGATTCTGTGCTCAGAGATCACTCCTAATGGGCTCAGGGGACCATATGGGATGATGGGGATGGAATCCATGTTGGCTCTGTGCAAGCTAGCTCCTTACCCACAACACTCCCATTCCAGCTCCAGGCTTTCGTACTTTTGATGTATAAAGTTCTTATGAAATAGGAATTTTAAAAGTACAGTACCTCTTTCCAGCTCCAAACAGATGCGAAGGAAAAGCAAAAACTATCCAAGGAATAGAGAGGTTGAAGGTGATACCAGAGTAAAGGAAGAAATGCATATACTCATGAGCTACGCCTTATTTTCAAGGATGACATTAAAAGTCAAAGAGAAAGGCAGCTAATATAGTGCTTACGTGCTGGTAGTCTTGCATGCTTGGGTCTGTCAACAAAAATTAAAATTAGCGTGTAGAAGTTAAACTATACGGATCAAGGACGGTTAGCACACATTCAAGCTCATTTAAGTTTTCAAAATGGAACACGTTGCTTTTAGTTATGGCATCAATCCTGTTGGCTTTGTTGATTTTTCTTTTATGTTAATTAAAAAAATCTCATGCTTTCTTAGAATCTTCGCCTATATTTCTTATCTTTTCCGCAAAGGACTGAATTACCATTTTGATCAATACCTCTGGCTGGGTCCTCTATGAAGAGTATCTGCGAGCCCAGAGACCATTCCACCAATGATGTAGACAGGGCCTGCAGAACACATGCGCTGCTTCAAAACGAAGCTTAATTTGGAGAGCTCCCTCACGGTCGCACCTGCCCGAGAACTCTGAGAAATTGCAGAGCCTGACTTCTCGTGTTGGCAAGATGCAGTGTTGGGGGGCGCCAGCAGGTGTGTGGGATGCAGGACACTCAGTTAGGGAACCTGCCAGCAGGTGTCTGGCGCCGGAGGTGCAGTTCCGACTTTCTGGCGCACGGTGGCGCGTAGGTCTCCCCGCTTCCACTTGCACTCCCTAAGGCACCTCCGCCGCCACCTGCCATCTCAACCAAACTCTGGGCGGCGGTATGTGACGGCCCGGGCGACCAATCAAGCTCCCGAGTTCCGGCCGCACTGCGGCTCTAGCCAATGGGGGCCAAGGAGAGGCGCGGAGGGGGCGGGCTCCGCAGCAAGCCTGGCCGAGGCGCGAGGCCCTCCTCCCGCCTCTCCGCCTACTCCTACCTCCGCCGCCTCAGCTTCCCGAGCGAGCCCCGCGGCCGCCGGAGCAGCTCCCGCGGCGGAGCCGGAGCCGGATGGTCAGAGGAGCCCGGCAGTCCCAGCAGCCGCGGAGTCGCCTGGCCCCCAGGTGGCCCGGGGCGCGGGTGGAGGTCGGGGCGCGGGCGCGGGCGCGGGCCCTGGGCAGCTGCTCCGGGCCGTGCCAGCGTCGGGGGCGCCGAGCCCTGGAGGCGGGGGGCGGGCCGGGGGAGACCCGGGCGCGGGCTGGGCGGGCGAGGCCGCGGGGGGCGTGTGACGGCAAGCCGGGGGGGGGGGGTGCGGGGGGCGCGGTGGAATGCGGGGGGCGCGGGCCCGGAGGGGCGGGGCCCGGAGGGGGTGGGCGCGGGGAGCGGGGAGGCCCGAGGGGCTTGCGGGGGTGACGAGGCAGACAATGAGGAGGTGGAGGTGGGTGGTTTGGGGGAGCAGTGCTGTGACAAACAGGCGCCGAGGCCGGAGCGAGGGGCCTGGAGGCGGAACGGGGTCTGGGCAGGGCAGACGTTTGGGGAGCGGGGAGCCCCGCTTTGCCCCTCGGGGTGCACGGGGAGCGGAGCTAAGCTTCGAGCCGGTCCCTCTGCAGGAGACACGTTCTTGACGGCACCGTAGGGCCGGAGGTCGTCTCTGGCCGTGACTTTTAGTGACCGTCTTGTTTTCTGTTTGCCCTGTAGACTGACTGGCACAGTGGAGAAACCGCCTCGAAAACGGAAAAGCAGGTAAGGCCGAGCGCTGTCCCCGTGTGCCTCGTGTTTTTCCACTTGCTCGGCTACTCTGCTCCCCGCCTGCATCATTATATTACTGCCAGTAGACCAAGTTTTTTTTTTTTTTAATTTAGCTCCTTTCTTATGAATGGAACTATATGCAAGATCATCAGAGGCCTTCAAAATACTACCTGTACACTTTGTGCGTGTGTGCGTGTGTGTGCACACGTGTGTGCATGTGTGTGTGCAAAGCGTGCACCTGGTGGGGTGTCTAAGATAAGGGGAAAGAGAGGATTCATGGACAAATTCGAGGCTTTCGCTTTAGTCTGAATTTTAACTTCTGCACCTTCTCTCTGGAAAGCTAGTGTTCAGGGAATGATTATCATGAACCAGTACTGTGTGTACTTGATTTATACAAAGTTTCTTCTGTAATCCTTGATGCCACTCAAGGAAGTATGGATCTTTATCACTGTTTTGCTGAGGGGAGAACTGAAGCATAGGGAAGCCAAATATTTACCCAGTCTGACAAATGTTGGAACCAGGATTTGAACCCAGACAGTTTGACCCGGGTGCTTCATTTGTATCTTATAATGTATCTAATAAATATGCAGTTAAAAAATATTTTTCTGAGCCTGGAGAGGTAGAACAGGGGTTAAGGCATTTGCCTTGCATTGGGCAAACTGCACTTAGATCCCGAAGCACGATGACGCTTAGGGATCTAAATGAACACAGAGCCAGAATAGTCCCTGAATACTGCTGGATGTGGCCCCCTCAAAATACTTAGAAAAATAGGTTTTGGGGCCAGGGAGATAGTATAGCAGGTAAGGCTCTTGCCTTGCATGCAGCTGATCCGGGTTTGATCCCCAGCACCATGTATGGTCCCCAGAAGCTCTGCCAACATTGATTCCTGAAAACAGAGCCAGGAGTAAGCCTTGAATACTGCTTAATTTCCCTCGCCCACTCAAAAAAAAAAAAAAAGGTTTCTTTCACAGGTACATAAGGTCTAATAAACACTTGGGCCATAGCACAGTAACAGTCATCTTTAAACAAGTGAGTTTTTCATTAAGTTGCAGAGAAGAGCACATACTTCCACAATTTTTTTTTGAGGGGTGGGGTTTACATGCTGCTGAGCTGAGAGCTTATTCCTGGTCCTCTGCTCTGGTCAAGGTGTCAGAGATAGAGCCAGTGTCAGTTACATGCACTCTGGACCCAGGTTCTGTATTGGACTGTTTTCCAGAACAAGAAGGTAATAAAATTCAGTTTCTAGGTTTGTGTTTAGTAACACAAACACATGTTCAAGAGAAGCACAACAGTTTTTTGACTGTTAGACATCCCTCAGAGTGGTGACTAGTTTTGTAGGGGGAAAAACTTTCTAGTAATAAATAGAGTAGTGAGTTTCTGTTTTTGTAGGCCTCCTGGTTGATGCTCAGGAGCCTCAGGGCCCCTCCTGGCGATTTTCAGCCAGCTTGGCTCCAGGTTCTCTCCTGTGGTTGTGCTCTGTGCTGCTTGGGTCCTGCCATGCCAGAGTGTACCATCTTGGCAGTGCTTGGGAGCTCAGGACCATATCCAGAGGTGCTCAGAGTATGGTCCTGGGCGACATAGTAATGCTTAGAGGATCATGTGCCAGGGATTGAACCGTGGTTGACTGCATACAAGGCATGTAAAGGCCTTAGATTTTGTAGTAACGAGTTTTCCAGACCTTATAGGACAAACTTTTTAAAAGATTGCTTCTAACAATGCTTCATAATCCAGATTCAGGTCGTGAACATAAGCCAAAGAGCTAAAGCAACGTGGTTTAAATTTGTGGCTCACTGATGGTTTTGCTAGGTTCAGAGAAGGATGGATAAGTTCCAAGGACTCTGCTTAATCCCTAGCGCTTAAATTGTGCCTGGCACCTCCAAACAGTTGATTAAATTATTGAATGATTGAATCTTTAAATAATTCCATGAATATTATCTTCTCTAACCAGATTTTGGTAAGCAGTGGATAGCAATGAGTTTAAGCTTATATTCTCAGCTAGCAACCACGAAAGCACATATTCTGCATGTCTGATTATGGTCAGATACTCCTCGGGTCAGGTCTTTGACCTCGACAGATAGCTAGTATAGATAAAGAAGTATTACGGACAAGAATAAGTTTGTTTCCCCCCCCCCCCCCCCCCCAGAAAGCAGGGATTGTTCTAAAAATCAAAAACAAAGTGGCTAGGTAAAATCTTATAAGGTGGATTTTAATGAAAGGATCTAATAGTTATAGCCAGAATTCCTTGTTTGTGATTGGTGGATCTGGAAACCTTCTCCCAGTTTGGGACCTGGGATTTAAACCTGCTGGTGCTTAGAAATTGTGGTGTCAAGACTGAACCCGGACTTCTCATATGCAGAATTTTTCTCGGCCCTTTGCGCTCTCTCCCTGTCTAAGACTTTTTTTGTTGGGGTGAGGGGGCTTGTAGGCCCTTCTGGGCTCAGGGCTTACTTCTGGCTCTGTGCTCAGTAATAACTCCTGGTGGTGCTTGGGTGACACTATATAGTGTTTGGGATCAAACTTGGGTTGGCTGAGGGCAAGACAAGTGCCTTATCTACTGTACTATCTCCCTGTCCCCAGATTTTACAACTGGCATTAACAGTTACATATGGTGACCAGAAAGCTCTCTATTTCTGGTGTGTGTATGTTGGGAGGAGGGCGGGGGGGGGGGGGGGCATATGTGGTACCAGGGATTCAGTCATATCTAAGGAACCAGAAGGACCTTAGTTCTTTTATTATTATCACTAACCCCTTCACATCAAATAATATGACTTTGCAATGAGCACTGAAAAATAAATTAATAGCTAAATACAGCTTTTAGTTTTCCTTTGAGTTGACCTACAGAGTAGAGTTGTTTAATATCATATATCCTGTTCTACTTTGAAAATGGGGTGCTGCAATTTTGATTTTAAGGTAGCAGTATTAAGTCTTGTTTAGTTTTTTGGGTTTTTTTTTGGGTCATACCTGGCGATGCACAGGGATTACTCCAGGCTCTGCATTAAGGAATTACTCCTGGCAGTGCTCAGGGAACCATATGGGATGCTGGGAATGGAACTTGGGTCAGCCGCGTGCAAGGCAAATGCCCTACCCGCTGTGCTATTGCTCCAGCCCCCACACACCAACATTTTACTTCATATATTTGTTACAACACAAAGGCGAATGGAGTTAGCAAAACTTAGATAAACAAAAGTCAATTTGTGATCGTTGTTCTATCTCACAATGGTGTTACTAAAGTCATTGAAAATTTACTGGGTTGGTTGCTGCTAGTTGAGCCCTCTGTGTTACTGTTTTTGTTCTTTGAGCTTGGTGGTTTTCTGTTCAATTTTTCTGTCAGATTTACTGTGATAATACGGGGCTGTCAAGCTGTCAAGTACTATGAAATTTGAAGATGTTGTGAGCCACATATGTGGCTGCACAGTCCAGGAACTGTGAAACCGATGTCTTGGCAACTTGATAAGGTTCAGTGGTAAAGCTGGGCCATTTCTGTGTTGGAGGGTGTCTGGTGTGGCTGCGGGCTGCTGGGCCTCTAGGTAGAAATTCCTCCCCCAACTCCATTTTTAAGTCTTTATTTATTTATTTTTTTGCTTTTTGGGTCACACCCCGCGATGCTCAGGGTATATTCCTGGCTCTGCACTCAGGAATCACTCCTGGCGGTGCTTGGGGGACCATATGGGATGCTGGGAACCAAACCCAGGTCGGCCACGTGCAAGGCAAATGCCCAACCCCCGCTGTACTATCGCTCCAGCCCCTAAGTCATTCTTTTTGATAGACATTAGTGACTAAGTTACTTTATTAAAGAAACTTTTTTTTTTTTTGCTCTGACACAGTTGAATTATCTCTTGAGAACATTCCTGGTACAGACCAAGCTATAAGGCAGTTTAAGAAGCACTAAGGAATTGGAGATTAGCAAGCACTTCACACCATACTGCTATTGCCTTGTATCTTTTTTTTCCCACTAAAACTTATTTTTCCTTGTTTTAGTTCATATTTGTAGCCCCAGCATTGAGGGGGTGCTCAGTAAAATTCTTAATTGGTGGCATGAGATATGTAGTATGGGATAGGGCTCTGGTGGTCCAGAATAATTTGATAGTATTTCATGCCTCTGATAAACTGCTAGACTGAAAGGAATTTTAAGATTGGAAACTTGATCTCCGTGTGGTTTTGGAACATGCTGAAGTCTTCCGTGTGTCTCCTAGCAATATTTGGGTTATGGGTTAGAGCAGTGTCTCCCAAAGTGGGCAGTGCTGCTCCCCTGCCTGCCTTGGCCTGGGGTGGGTGCTGGAATGATGGGGGCTTGTCATAGCCTTGGGCACAGTTAGAGTACGCTCTCTGTTCTTTGCTAGAAATCTGTTAGCTTTCTTTCTTTTTTTTTTTTTAATGTAGGAGTACTGCTATTTATTCAGCCACTGATTAGCTGATTGAATTGGGCATGAACTCCACCTTAACTTTTTAAAAATTTTTTTTATAATTTTATTTATTGAATCACCGTGAAAACAGTTACAAAGCTTTCGGGTTTAAGTCTCGTTCATACAATGAAACACCTGTATCTTTACCAGTGCCCATTCTCCACCACCAAAACCCCCAGTCTACCCCCATCCAACACCCTCCCCCTACCTGTGGGGCAGATGATTTCCACATTACTCTCTCACTGCTTTGATCACATTCAATATTTTGACACCAGACTCACCATTATTATTTGGGATTTTACCCCAACACTCAGATCTGCTGAAAAGGCAACAGTAGACAATTTGTTTTCTATTGCTGGTTAAGAATAACATATGATGTCACGGAGCCGCAGTAGTGGCTGTGCGATTTTGAAATTCCAAAATTTTAACACTTAAATCTGGAGGGATTTCTGCCAAAACCTGCTGGGTTCCAAGATTTGCTCCTGAGTCTCTGGGATCATGGCCATTAAGCAGCTTGATCAGGAGCCAGAAAGGCCATTCATGGGCAGCGACTCAGGGTCTCGTTGGGATGGTGTTAGCGTTCCAGTGTGG